CTCTGATCTTATCAGTGTCGATGGCTACACCTGCTGCACTGATGGTGTGGGTCACACCAAAGGAGCATTTGGACTTCTTAAGGAAGAGCTGATGATCCTGAAGTTGCTGCAGGACCAAACGGACATGGCAAAGATGTTCCTAACCATGATTGGCTATAGATGAGGATGTCATCAAAGAAAACTAGCACAAATCTGCGAAGAAAAGGTTTAAGCACTGAGTTCATTAGCGCTTGGAATGCCGCCAGTGCATTGGTGAGGCCAAAAGGCATGACAAGGAACTCGAATAAGCCTTGGTGAGTTCGGAATGCTATCTTGGAAATATCATCCTCACTCTGTGAGTATTTGATGGTATCCTGATCGTAGATCCAACTTAGTGAAATATTCGGCACCTTTGAGTTCATCACGTAGTTCCTGCACCACTGGGATCAGGAACTTGCCCTTCACTGAGACAGTGTTAAGGGCATGATAGTCGATGCGCATCCGCCATGATCCGTCCTGCTTCTTAACCAGCAGTGCTGGAGATGAAAACGCCGACGTGCTCGGTCTGATGACCCCATGGCGCAGCAGCTCCGCACATTGGCGCTTCAACTCATCCTTCTAGGTGTGAGCATACCGATAGGGCCGAACAGCGACTGCCTTAGCTCCGGCATGAAGTCTGATGCGATGACTGATATCCCAGCGAGGCGGCAGCCCAGTAGGCTCCCTGAAAATCCCCTGATACTCCTCCAGGAGCAGATCCATGTGGCGATCAGCAGTAAGTGTCAGATTGTGGAGTTGTGCCCCAGCTGCATGGTCCAGGCCTGTCCACAGGATGCGCCAGTCCCCGCGCAAAAGCACAACATCTGCTCGGCAAAGTCCCACAAAGTCAGTCCAAGTGTGCTGAGGAATTGCACACCCAGGATGATGTTGTGACCACCCAATGGCATGGCATAGCAGTCCACCATGAAGTCCTCAGAACCAATGAGCAGCGGCAAATCTGGATATAATCCCGGGCAATTGATGTGATCACCATTGCCCACGGTGATAAACATGCCATGTTGTTGTCGTATCTTAAGACCGAGGTGTCGTGCCATGCCTTCATTAATGAAATTGTGCGTTGATCCGGAATCCAACAAGGCCTCAAGGCGGATAGAACCAAGAGTAACCCCAATGTGGATGGTTCTGAAACGTGGTGACCTGATGCCTGTGAGTGCATGCAGAAAAATCTCAGGTGTCTCAGGCGTCACCAATGCGTTGTTGTCCACCTCTTCATCCTCCCCAATGTCTTCTGGTAGGACCTCCAGAACAAACACACACATGCACTTGTGGCCATAGGTAAACTTCTCATCAGAATTGTAGCAAAGACCATCTGTGCGGCGCTGAGCCATCTCAGCCAATGTTAGCCACTGCCGTGGAAGTGTTGTTGCACCACCAGAGAGCCTGCTGGCCGCAGAAGAAGCTTGTGCTGGTCCAGATGTCGGTGGGCTCGACGCTGATGATGAAGAAGGTGCTCGGTACGAACAGCGTGGCGGTCCGGAGTCCGATGGTCTGATCTGCAGCCGTTGTTCATAGGCACAGGCATACGTCACAGCGTCGTTCAAGGTTTCTGGGCAGTGCAGACCCACTTCTGTCTTCAGGGGATTCTGTAGGCCAACATTGCACAGTTGTACCAATTGGGATTCAGCCAATTCTGGGTCACAGCAAGACAGCGCCATGAATCGATCGCCGTACTCCTCTACAGAGCCTGTGCAGCCCAGCAACTTGAGCTCACCCAGAGGAGTATCCATCATTGGGTGGCCAAACCGCTGATGCACCATCTGCGCAGCCCCGCTGACGAACTGGCTCCAGGAAGGCATGCCGCCAGATAGCTCAATTCGATAGTACCACAACTGCACAGCCCCGGTCATGTGGAGAGAAGCATACCGAACTCGCTTGTCATCCGGCGTTGTTGCCCTCTGAAGGTGTCGCAGCGGTTCAGCCACGGCAATGGGTCGTCCTTGCCGTCGTACATCGGGAAGTCCAGCTTGGGCCTTGGATAAAAATGATCTTCACCGCTCGGCGGTCTGGTAGTGTTGAAAGAATAAGGCATGGCTCCTAGGACGCCGTCTCCTGAGGAATCTGAGATGTCCATGGAGGGGTGCTTGCTGGTGTTGGAGTTGGTGCCGCTCCAACCGCGAGATGGCGAGGTTGAGGGTGTGGACCTGTTCTGCTCCTTCATGGACATAGGCCTCCAAGGTGCGGACGGTGCAGGAAAGTGGCTCCAGGGCGGCAAGCTTGGTGGCGAGGTCGGCGACGTTCAATGTTACTTCAGCGAACTGCTCGCCAGTCTGGTTGGCGAGATCAGCGAGGGCCTTGCTCAGTTCGGCGTTGGCCTTGTGTGACATGGGAACAAAGAACCAGGCAAAACCAGAGCGGAGGTGGATGGAAGGATCGAGTACCAAAGCTAGCTGATACCAGATGTGATGGCTGTGGTGGGTGAGGTGCTGGTGATGTAGAGGAACCTAGGCTACGCCGGCCTGAGCTCTTGGCCGCAGGGAGTTCCGCCAGCGATGGCACTCCGCGTCCGTGAACACGAGACGGGGAGTGAAGCGGAGACAGGAGAGGGAGAAAGATCAATAACTTCCTTAATGAAAAGATGATCTTTACAACCTCCAATATCTAGAGTCCCAAGCTAGATTGACTGCCTAACTAACTATTCCTCAAATAGGAAACTGATACAATCTGCGAGCACCTGGGCACCACGGTATGGGCGTCGTGAGCGCGCCTCCTAGCCACTACACTTGCGCCCGCACATGAAACAAGGAAGATCTAGAGAAGCAGGTAACTCGAGGGGTGGAAGCTGTGAAGACGACTGCCTTATTCTTCCACAAGAAAGACCTGGAGATGCAAGCTCAAGATGATCGCCAGTTGGTTCCTTATGTTGGTTAGTTGTGAGGGTATCAGCTGAATGCGCCCTGCATGCTTTTGGGCAGGAGCCCTGTAATGAACACTCGGAAGTGTCTTCGGGTGGTTGTTTGACAGTCACTGCGTTTTTGTCTCTAGTCGCGGGGGTAGTTTTCGTTCATGAGGCTGATCCCTTGGTGATCATTCTCATAGACGTGTTGTTTTGTCCACGGTTTCGTTATCGTTTTCAAACTGCTGAACTCTGTAATTTCGTTATCGTTACATTTGTAATGAAATTAGGTTTCCACCGTTGTGGGAAAAAAAAACATTACACAAGGTGTCATATTTGCATGACAAATATAACTAACAAATTTGCAGAGCTAACAGTACAGCAAGTGTCGATTCAGAAATTCAAATACACTTCTGTTTTCGTTCCAGGACAAAATGCACAGGCAGCACCTTTGCACTAACATTTTTGTCCACCATAGGCAAAGATCAATCTCGTCCTTGCATCTCTCAAACAGTATATTTTGGCTCAGTAAACATAACATGGATTTTGTGCACCTAGAAGCGTGCTACACAATGTTCTCATAAATTAAAATATTGTGGCATACACACAAATGCAAATGGAGTAGAATACGGAATGCATATGCACTTCATGCTTGCTTTGCTCCATTTTCCTAGAAGAGAAATTTAAGATAAAATACCCCTAACTATTTAGTTTGTGCAATCATAAAACTAAGCAAAGTTGCTGATTTGAAACCCCAACTACTCAAGCATGAGCAATCAAAGAGGCCAACGGCCGTAAAAATGCAAAAGGTGGACATTGTCTTGTGGCCTGGGTCAAAGTTTGCCGACCACCGGAGCTTGGAGGTCTGAGAATTTCAGATCTCAAGTCTCTTGGCTGGTTTCTGCGTATGAGGTGGGTTTGGCTGCAGAAAACAGAGCCTCATCGTCCTTGGGCTGCTCTCCCATTCCATGTGCCTGAGCAAGTGAGAGAGCCTTCTTCTTAGTTGCAGTGAATTCTATAATTGGAGATGGTGCAAATACTCTTTTCTGGACAGATCGGTGGCTCCATGGGCAATGCATTGCAGACCTTGCCCCTCCTTTTCATGGCTATCCCTAAAAGGAGGGTTAAGCGGCGCACTGTCCAGGACGCCCTCACTAACCAGGCTTGGGTTTCGGACATTCAGGGAGCTCTTACAGTTGGTGTGATTGTAGACTACCTTCATTTATGGGATCTACTGATGGATTTTCAGCTGCAGACAGAGGTTGAGGATAGACACTTATGGAGGCTCTCCTCCAATGGACAATACTCGGCTAAGTCGGCATACGAAGGGTTCTTTTTGGGTTCTACTCTTTTTGGACCGTGTGAAAGGATTTGGAAATCATGGGCACTGCCCAAATGTCGCTTCTTTGTGTGGCTGGTCACGCACAAAAGTGCTGGACGGCTGATCGCCTAGCACGTCGTGGGCTACCTCATCCGGAGTACTGTCCCCTTTGTGACCAAGAAGACCTTGTCCCCTCAGCCTACAGAATTCCTTCCATGCTTGGTGGGAGAAAACTAGCAGCAGCACCGTTGATGGGTTGATGAGGCAAGGAATTAATTCGCTCATTATACTCAGAGCTTGGACTTTATGGAACCATCGCAATGGGTGTGTTTTTGATGGAGCAGCTCCAAACTTAGCTGGTGCTTTGATCATAGCTGGCGAGGAGTGTCGCTTGTGGTCTATGGCAGGGGCTTGAGGGCTATCATTCTTGACTGCCCTCCTCCTCGGTAGTTGAGTGTCTAGCTCAGTAGTGGTCGCCTTGTGTAGTTTTGTCACGGGCGCGAATGTAATCCTTGTAGCTGTTGGGGCGTAAAAGTGTGTGTTTGTGGTGTCTGTGGGGTTGCTTGGGCTCTTGCCCTTTTCTCTTCTTAATATAATGAGGCGCAGCTCTCCTGCGTTTTCAAGAAGAAAAATCAAAGAGGCCAACCAATCATAGCCGCACAGAATTTGATCACCGAACCAGATCCCATTCCATTAGATTAGGAAGGAAATGATTACTTCCCCAGTCAAAGGGATTTCCTAAATCATTTGCGTATACACAAGTTATCATTATTTTAAGTGCAATAAGATCATTAAAAGGAAATATACCTGTTCACTGTGATTAGGAAGGCAAGGAGGACCACCTTCTGGAGGCCTCAAAATCAGCTCGACTAACTTAAGTGCATGAGATGCCCAGCGCGGCAACCCGTTACCTCGAAATCCATCATCTTCAACACAATCATTGTCAGCTCGGCGACTCTCTCTCGAAACTTCCTCCCTCACTAGATCAAGGAGAATTGCAGTCTGACAGTAACCAGAAGTCAGAATTTTATTGATGACGCTAAAACAGAAGCTCAAATTTTAAGAGCCATGTTTGCCATTCTCAGCATATTGTGCCTTAGAAGATTAAGGTCAGTGATTAAGGGCAGTAACATTCATATAACTCTTTGTCCTCCAATAGATTACGAGCATAAATAAGATGGAGTTACCAAAACATAAAGAATGACTACTTGAACATAGTGTTAGAGGAAAACAGTGTCCTTACCAAGGATGGAGATGTACTATTGTTTACAAGAGCATGTAAGATGTCAAATCTCTGAGATGATGGCACCATTGAAATAACCTGACAATTTCGTGTCATAAATTAGTGCAATATTAAAAAAAAAAGGCTCGGCAATATCACAGTACATAGGACGTAGAGATGCCATTCAAAATCAAGCTATCATCATGGAAATCGTGGCAATTATAATTTTCACACTTGTTGCAAAAATATGCACCAAAAGTGAGGAGCAAACACACTTGAGGTATGCCATTATGCACGACACCAAAAATATGCACCAAAAGTGAGCACCAAAATACGTTAATTAGATCCATGCCATTAAGTTCAAGAAAAAAATAGATCCATGCCATTATAATTCAGCTGTTTTTGAAGTGCACCACTACTTCTCACCGAATAGGATAAGTGACATTGTAATTCAGCTCATACTTGAGGTATGCCATTATGCACGACGCCAGCAACCTTGGGCCCACATGTAGGCATACGTACAGCTTCGTACTTCTGTATAGGCCAAAATTCCCCTGCTACACCCCTCTCCTTCCACTCACTGACATACGGGTCCTACTACTCATACTTATCGTCTCTCTTCCTGTCTTCCCCCAAGGCAGGCTCCCCCTCTCTGCACCAGCACCGGTGCTGCCCAGCATCGCACTCGGTGCCGCCATGCACCCTCCATCAGGATGCGCTGGAGGAGGTGGAAGCCTCCATGACGAGGGGAGTAGGAGGCCACCGTAGTACGAAGGGCCTCAAAGGGCTACATCTGGATGAGGGGCAGGATGGTGAGGATGAGCTGCAGGAGGTGCACGATCATGATGCCCAGGGAGGCGGCAGCAGAAGATGCTCTGGCAAGAGGGACCGAAGCTCAAGGCGATGGTCGAGTCAGTTCTCAAGCCGAGCCTCCGGGCGGCGACATTTCTAGCTCGGGCTCCGGTGGCCCATCCATGACGGTGACAAGCCAGGACTTATCACCACCGCCATCTGCGGCGGGAGCAGCCGAAGGCAAGCAGCACCGTAGCAAAGAAGCCGGATCCACGACAAGAGGGGCAGGGTCCACAACAGAGAAGGATGGATCCGCCTCCATCCACACTCGGGGCACGCCGCGGGGTACCGCGCGTCATACTAGTAGTAGATCATGTTGCACTCCCACAAGTGACGCCAGACCTGCTACTTTCACATCGTCATGATGTCCGACGCCCTGAGGGCCACCGTCCCGACGCCGTCATCTGCTAAATGGGGCCGACGCGGTAGCCAAGGAGCTCTAGGTCCATGAAGAAGGCCACAAAGGGCACGTACAGGTAGTTGACGCGGTATCGGCTGCAGGTGGAGGCGTACACGAACATGGCCTTGGAGCGGAAGTTCGCGCCCATGGCGGTCGACCGCCGCACCTTGCGCACGGGCACATCATCATCGTAGAAGGCCACGACTACGGAGGTCCATAGGATGGAGTAGCGGAAGCGCTACTCAGAGCATGAGCTTCAAACGCCGGCATGCATGAGCTCATCGTCAGATGCTACTAGTGAAGATGGGCTAGGGAGAGAGAGGAAGGGGAAGACGCAAGGTTGTAAGTCTAGTGGGGAGAGGGGTAGGATGGGTATTTTGGACCATATGACAAGTCTACGCAATACATACACCTGCATGTGGGGCCAATGTCACTAAAGACGTATAAGATGGCATGGTTCAAAGGGAAGCTAAATTGTAATGGCGCACGTCCTATTAGGTGAGAATTAGTGGTCGCCTCTGAAACGGCTGAATTATAATGACATGGATCTAATTAACCCATACGCATAGGAAAGAGGAATTCAAGGTACTTGCCTTTTTCAAAGCAACAAAAGCTTTTTTCCGCACCAATGCCACAGGGGCAGCCATCATAACGCTTTCAATGGCCTATCAATGTCATTAAAATGTTTATGCAGTAGAATAAGAAATTACCACATTTTTATAAAAGGAAGAGTGATACCTTGAGTGTTGCATAAATACGAGGAGCATAGCATGTGAAATCTACATGATTATTGATCTCTTCAACATGATTTTCACCAGCTAGAATCAGCATTAAGTTTAAACCATGGGATTTGATTATCCATGGGTAATGAATTGAGGATAGGACATGTTTAAGCATGTTAATTGCTTCCCATTTCTTCATATGGTTGCCCTGAACTTCCTTCAGTGCTAATTCCAACTGTTCTCCAGCATACTTTGACATATCATTATCATCATACATATGTGTCCACACAACTGTAGAACAGGTGATACAGGTAACCGATGAGCATATAAATGATACACGAAAGAAATTGCTGTAGTAGAAACTATCACCACCTGAAAGTGCTGCACCATCCATAGCAAAGGAAAAATACTCCACAAAATCAGCATCTTCCTCTGCATCACTTTGCAAACAAATTTATCAGCTGAAACTAAAGCAAACCAAATGTGAAGAAATGAACAGAAAAGAAACTGGAAATAAATTGGATGAGTTAGACACCTTTGGAAAGTTTATCAATTGCCGCTGTGACATCACTGCCCGTTAGCAGACCAAGACAGGTGAATCCACTAGATTTAAGAAATCTGAAACTCTGAAAAACAACTGAACCACAAGCAGAGAGAATATCCTGCTGTCTGCTTCGTGATACAAGAGCCTGAAAGTAAGATGGCATGCATTGCACCATTATAGATCTTATTAGGGAAAAGGAAGAAAATAAACTGTAAAGAAAAGCATCATCTCATGTACTCACTATATTCTGAAGGGAGTATAAACCAAGAATTGCATAGAGATCTTTGTTTTTGTTGAACTTTCAGTAGACAGAACAATAATGCAGAATCAATGAGAACATAGAAATGATAAACAAAATGGTAAAATAAGTTTCAACATTAAACAGCTCACAATAGGTACTTAAATCAACAAACCATTGATTTGCACATTTCTTGAATGGCATTGCCAATGCCATGTGCTGCATTGAAGAGATCAACAGCAGCACTTCCATGTTCCTCAACACATTCTGATACAGCAGCATGCATAACTTTAAGGACAACAGGTAGTGCCACCTTTACTTGCTCGATATATCGCCTCTGAATTAAAGTAAGCACTGGCCAACGAATAATTAGTTGACGAACATTGAATAACATGGAAACTAGTCTTTTAGACAGCAGGTGAGAAACATATCTGTAGAGTTTATCTACAGTATGCAGTGTTATCCTAAATAGTAAACAGTCATGTTTAACATTTATATCACCAAAATATACATACTTACTCATGAAACAAAATCTAGTATTCTGCAAGTATACATATTTATGCATTGACATCTGAGCGAAAAAAACAGAATATACTATGTCTTCCACTAGCGCATTGACAGTTTATGTATCCACTTTCAACATGAAGTAAACTAAAGTTAACTGATTCAGTCTTGGGTTCTAATAGGCATTTCATCATGAATCTAATTCACTTCAGCAAATTAATCATGTTTACTCCGTATTTCAACACTTTTTACCGTTTAAACGGTTTGGCCATCTAATTAGCTGTATATGGCCTAAACAAGACAGACACCTCTTGTTTACTGTTTACATGATGTTCAAATGGCAGTTTAAGTCATTTAGGTGAAAACTGAATATAGTGTATACATGTCAGATTATCAGATTTTTGTGGAACAAATTAAGGTCAATATTAAGATAATAGGATCAAGTTTCAGATAAGATGGGGCACAACAATTTTACAAATATTGAACACGGAAATGAGGAGATAATTGTAGAAGTTTTCACAAGACAATAGTGCACATACCTTTAGCAAGTGCATCGAGTAGAAGAACAAAACTGGATAAGCCATTTGGTAGCTCCATTGGTGCATCTAATGCCTGCATTAATCAAATACGATAGGTTAAGCAAAAGAGATCAGAATACTTAAAGGAGCCAAGTATCAATTGTACAGAGTCAGAAAAAACACAAGATTATAACTTCAAAATGAATCAATTAGGAACCACTTGCATTACACAAGTCTGGGCTAAGACGCGAAAGGGCCTCTAGCTGAGTTGAGTAGGTGGATCGAGTAACCTGGGTTCGACTCCGTGTGGGAGCGAATTTCAGTCTGGGGTTAAAAAAAATCTCTTCGTCTGTCCCAAACCAAAGCACCGATCTAAGGCCCAGCCCCGGTCGTGATCGTTCTCACATGGACTACGGTGCCGCTGTGTATGGGTGCGGCAGGGGTTGGGGTCTTACCCCCTGCAGGTCGAGTTTTTCTTAGTTTGGGCAAAGACAACATCAGCTACAAGTAAAGATTGTAAGACTAATCCAGATCTATTAGATGAGAAGAAACCATATCAACCATCTCAGATCCCAAATGAACATCAGTCATAAGCCTTTGCATGCACATATACAAGTACATCTAGGTGAGAAAGGAGCCAAGATTCTCCCCGCAAAATGTAGTCACATTTGTAAACAGCTTTCTAAGTCCCCTTTGGAACAAGGAAATTCTTCATGTTTCCTGCGTTTTTCCTGTGAAAGTGAACAGATTCCTGTGAAATCCCTGTACAATTTCCAGGAAATTCCTGCAGTCCAAAGGGGCCCTAAGTGTGGAGAAATTTCCTATCAGCAAATGTACACACAACTTGCAAGCATTAACAAGCTCAAATTCCCAAGCGCGGATGAATTTTCTATCGTCATTGCAAAACGACAGTTATGCCAACCAACAACAAAAAGTCAAGAACTTAACACATATAATTCGAAGTATAACAAACCTCACAGAGGATGGAGAGCATGTCCCTCGGACTGCAATTCGACACGAAGAACTTGAGGATAGCCGCGGCAACATCCCGGCATCTCCCCATCTGAGCCCCTAGCTTCGCCACAGCTTTGGGAAGCACAAGGGAGAGCGCGTCAAGGGCCATCTGTTGTCAGAACAAAGCAACCAAATCAGTACGCCAAACACCCATCGTTCTCAGTTCTCCCAAGCCCACCAAAAAATCGCAAGACACATCAATTCGAGAGGAACGCGTTCCGACCTGGTTCGAGATCGATGACGGGCGCGAGAGAAACTCGAGCACCTCGCGGAGCAGCTCTTCGGAGGCCCCTGGCCTTGACGCATCTTCGCTGTCGTCGCTCCCGTCATCGGCCTCGGCACTTACGACGGCTGCGGTGTCAAGAATGTCGGAGATGGTGAAGGAGGCGGTTTCAGAAGCATTGGAGTTGCCGGAGTCGCAAGCCTGTGGTGGAGACGGAGATGGGGAGAGTTTAGAAGGGTTCCGGAAAGCAGCAGGTGGTTCGGGAGATTGAAGTGTACTAAGATCGTGGGTTAATGGGTTACCTCGGAGAGGGTGGTCAGTGCTTCGCGGAGGCGGGCGGAGTACGGGGCTGCGGGGGAATAGCTGATGGGGGCGTCGCCGGTGGTGGCGGCGGAGGGTTCGACGGCGGCCATGGAGCTGCTGCGGTGCGGCAGTGTTGGCGTGCTAGGGCCGATAATAAAGAGAAAACGAGCGAGACGGGGAGAGGAGGCTACAGGACGGCTCGTCGCCGGCAGTCGCTGAGCGACGGCGCTGCTCCTCTCGGCGCTGAGCGAGCGGCGGCGGCGCCCTGCCTGCGCGAGCCGCGAGTGCGCGTGTGGGAGGCGGCGCGAGTGAGGAACGGGAGGGGCTAGGGGTCTTTCGGGGCGCAGTCACGAAAGGGCTTTTGTAACGGTGGACCAAAACATGGCCTTATTTAGATTAAGTTTTTTCTCTCTTCCATCACATTAAATCTTTGACACGTGCATGGAGTATTAAATGTAGATAAAAAAAATAACTAATTACATAGTTGGATCGTAAATTACGAGACGGATCTTTTGAGTCTAGTTAGGCCATGATTGGACAATAATTATCAAATACAAACGAAAATGCTACAGTGCCAAATATTGATTCCTAACCCCAATCTAAAAAAGGCCCATGTAGAAAGGCTGAAAGCCCGAAGACCCGCCTGCGGTTACCCCGAGCTCTTGCATAAATCTACGGTCTGTCAGCGCCGCCCCGCTAGGCCCGTGCCCGTCAGGGCGGCATGGAAGAAGCATGCAGCCTCGTACCGCCGAGGTATAGAGCCTAGCTTCTCAGACGGATCTAGCGCCTCGTACCGGCGCTCCTGGCGCACGGCCCCCTGCAAGTGGCGGCCCCTTGCCGCAGCATCCCTTCTCCTCCGCCGATGGATCAGACCACGACTCGCCTTCCCCTTGCCCCTCTGGTGGTGGCCGCAGCAGCAGGGCCCCTCCCCTGCATCCGGCCGCGGCATAGCCATCCCATGCGGACAGTGCTCTCCCGCGACGACAGTGGCCACGACCCATCTCCCCTTCACCAACAGCGGTGGCGCCCCATCTCCGCTTCACCGACGTGGTCGTGACGGCATCCCCTGGCCCGTTCCCCGCGGCGGCGGCACCCACCAGGTTGCGATCTCCATCCCCATGGTGGCGGCGCCTCTAGGTGTGGCGCATCACCATGAGCACAACGCTGTCACGCCCCATGGCCTCTTCGATGGCGGCGTTGCTAGGCCTTCCGAAGTTTCGTTTCATATATGGATTTGTTCTGAATTATCTGAGGTAAACCATCTCACACGCATGTAGCTTGGTAAACCATCTCACACATATGTAGCTTGCCATTGTTAGGACCATGCAGGAGGGCATGGGAGAATCGACATCCAATCCATGAACATGCTCAACCAATTTGAAGGTTCTTAAGGTTAATTAGTCCACACTTGCTACAACCAAACCAGAATACATCAAATGTGCTCTTTCTTTTCAAGTGTCAGACTCCTGAATTCTTTCTTTGTTATCATGCTCCTGCCACATGTTTCTTTATTTGGTTTGACATAGATTTAGTAACAATATGGTATTTTTTAGATCTATGATGACAGGCATAGAAATAGATCAAGGAGACTATTTCGATCTTGTTCATTTTATTTGCGGTCTTATGTACTTATGAGCTTGCTGAACTGATCGTAGCAATGAATCACACCTAAGGAGACACTCACCTAAGAAATTATCGTGCATTTGATTCCTAGTAATTATTTTTGATAGAACACATATTTTCATATTTGAAAAAATACCTAATCAGTGTGGTGTGTCATTATGCGCAATAACTGATAGGTATTGCCTCTTGTGCTAGTTAGATCAAGTTTCTGGTGAAAAACATAAATTATTTTTCTTAACCACAGTTCCCTGCAATTGAACTGTAGTTTTTTTTATCTCAGAAGAGCTAAAATGTTTGTTGCTAAGACCTAATCAACTACAAAATGCAATATTCAAATGTCATATCATAAAAATTTTATATGACAATTTGCTTTCGCGTAAATTCTCAGCTTATAAATAATGTTTGTCTAGATATAATCTCAGATGGAAAGCTATATTGTAATATATATTATTCTTCATTTGATGTTTTTTTTAATTTCTTGTTAGGGTCTGGAGGCCAGGATTTTCCTAATGGTAAACTTTCTCTGCTTACCATTTCTTTTTCAGCATGATATTTTGTTTGCTTGCTGGTGGCAAAGCATTTTATGTTGCTTTTGAGTGACACTTCAGAGTTCAGTCACACCCTAAAGTTTGATCAAGTGAAACTATTCCATTTTAAGCTAGCACTCTCTTTGCATCTTTACTAGCATAAGCAGGAGAATGCAGTAGTGAAATGAGCAATTTAGGTATAATAGAGAAACACATCCTACTTTTTTATTTTGAGATGGATTAGTTCATTCCCAAGCTTACTTTCTAGATTGTAGACTATGGAACTACCGCTGTGTTTCGGCTTTTGTATTTTTTATTAGAATCAATGATAAAAAATTAAGAGTATGCTTAGATGTTGTTTTTCAAATATGAGTATGCTTAGATAGCTTTCCAGATAAGTGTATGTTTGCATGCCTTTCTTTATCATAGAATCATTTGATATTTTTCATATTACATTATAACTTGACAAAAAAAATAATTTTGATTGGTTTGGAATCATGATGTTCACGAAGGGCTCGAATATATGAGGGATGAGTATGGCACAGTGAAGTTGCAAGTTCAGAGTTTATAGCTGAAGCTATCTTGTAGTGAGTGCATATATGTTCAGTTTAGATAACTTTTGTCAGCCTGTAGATGCCGCAGAATTGCATATCAGTTTGCATCTACATTATAGATAGAGTTACTGCAATCAACTGGAGAATGCTTTGCTTCTGTAAATGGACCAGCCACCAGTCTTATGAAATTAGAAGTGAGTATATATGTGCACAGCAAAGGGAGTATATACTTTTACTCCCTTGTAAGATGTACAAATACTCCTCAAAATTGTATACACCATACATAATCTTTTTGTAAAGTAGTATGTATACATACTCTTTTCAGAAGTACATTTTAAGATTGCAGTAGTATCTATATATAATACATTTTAAGATTGTGGTACTATATCTATAGATATTCTCTCTCTCCCTCCCTCCCTCCCTTCCTGCCCTCCTCTTTTTGGTTTGCAAGGTCAAGTGCCATCAAGCTGTCTCCATATAAGGGTGTGTAGGTTTTGACTTTGTAAACAAGGCAAAATTAAAGCCACCAAGGTTCTAGAACTATGTATTACATAATGATTTAGGATTTATAACTACAATAATCGACGCTAGTAACCTTACTTGTCACACAACAAGATAATTTACTAGAAAACAGGTCTTTGGACTCCCATATTAATCAACTAGCTTTTTTCCGGTGGTTTGTTGGATAAAAATATACACCAGTTGCCAATGCAATGCATATGCACATGCTTACTTTTTTCAGTAAACATGTATAGGTCACAATAGCACAACACTTGTAGCAAGTTGGCTGCCATTGTTATGCTTGTTATGTGGCGGACCCTAAATAGCATGCACGACTGGATTGAGACACTATATTACACGTTGAGTACTACCTGAAAAAAATGATGTGTGTGATTTTATCAACTGTTTGCTTAATTTTCTAGTTGAACCTACCAATTTATATATGCATGCTAATGTTACTGATTTTCTAGAGCTATATTGCATTCTTGTGTTCTTTAGATAATGTTTCATATTACGTTATTTCTTAAATAGTGTAAATACTCCTTGTGTTAAAGATAATTCTTTTTTTTAGTTGAATCAGAAAAATACAAGTTAGGAATAAAAGGGCAATGGATATCACCGAGTGCATCATGGCAGCATCTTTGTTTGCATCTTCGTAACCATAAAATTTTATCCTCATTTCATCTATGATTGTTGTGACATTCACCTATGCTTTTGACTGTATTCTTGTGTAAAAATATTATTTGCTGATCAATATTGATAAATTGGTCTGTTAATTTTACTGGAGGTTCTTGTATGCATGTTAATCCCCTTTTCCTTATGGTCCAGATATGCTGACAAATTCTTGTAAGCACTACAAATGATCCCACAACTTTAAAGAATCAGAACACAAAGGGGATGCATCTTAGGACCTATCATACAGGTCATTTTTTTGCTTAACCATCTTAAATTTCCCTTACTGTGAACGAAACAGCCAATACGTATTGCTGCTGGTGCTAATTAGATCAAGTTCCTGTAATTTTTTTATGAACAAGCATAAATTAATTTTGTTGCTGAAGCTCAACAAAGATCCCAACACAGCAAATAGAAAAATGAAAACATAGACACCGGTAAGGATTTGTTGGAACTTCCTGTCACTTACCTTTACTCTAATTGAATTAGTTTCTGAGCTCTAAACTTGATTGAACGTTTAAAATTGCCACGAGTGAAATGTTGTATGCAGATGGCACGTGATGAACTACTATGTACAATTAAGGTCAAGGTTTATAACTTCTTTTATCTGATTCTCTTTCCTTAGTGCAGCACAATTTCATTCCAAGGTGAGGAGCTTCCAAGACTGTGTATGCCCTCTACACCTCAGCATCCTCTTTGTTCACTTCATATTTTCTTGTCAAATTAATTCTTTGTGTGTTTATTTGGTATCAACTTGTCGAAATCAGAAATCTGTAGATATCAACCTGTTATCTAGACTGACTATGTACTGCATGTTAAAACCTCTGTTTGTCTGAATGAAACCCAACAATATCTTTATAACCTGCTCCTGCCGTGGTTATGATTGTATAGTTGTTGGCTTGCTGCCATTGTGTACATCTTCCATCAGCTGATTTTTCGGGGGAATAAAATTTTACAGGACAAATTTAGTAAATAAAATTTAGATTATCTCTGATAAATGACACCAACCTTTCATTATTTTCATGCTTAGATAGTTTTTCTTTCTGGTTGTTAAAAGAAATATTTTCATTAAATAATTTTGGATACTTGAATTCTTCCTAATAAATTCAATAGTATAAAAATCTTTTTCTGAATACTATGTTTCTAAGTGTCACATTTAAAGAATTTTATAAACTGTCAATCTATTTACCTATTTAGCTCATAAAAAAATAAACACACAGAGACATCACAATT